AGATCCAGATACTCATGTAGTCTTAAAAGGTCTTAATAATTCTGCACATAATGTAGATGAATTTTTACATGAAGTAAGTATAATTTTTTAACTTTTATAGCGTTTATATGATACAATGATTTTAAATTTTATTTCATTTATGATATAATAATTTTAAAAATTTTATTTCAATTATATGATATAATAAATTTCTTTTATCAAATGATTTTTTAGGTTGAAAATCAACTCAAGTTCCGAGGTAAATGGGTTATTGCAATTTATGGCATAACTAAAGACCCAGACAAAAATAATTACATGATGGTGATGCAGTATGCGAACTTGGGAAGTATCCGTAAGATGTTAAACGGTTATAAATTGAATTGGAAAGAAAAATTAGATATATTGCGTTATATTGCTTATGGTCTTGCTTTAATTCACAAAGAAGGATTAATGCATAAAGATTTTCATTCTGGAAATTTGGTTGGAACTTCTTTAGAATATAATTATTATATTACAGATTTTGGATTATGCAAGCCAATTGGATCTAAAGATACAAGAATTTATGGAGTTCTACCGTATGTGGCACCTGAAGTTTTAGTAGGAAACGATTATTCTCAGGCATCAGATATATATTCTTTTGGAATTGTTATGACAGAGATTCTTACAGGTTATCCGCCTTATCATAATATTCCACACAATGACAAGTTAGCAGCTCTTATTTGTCGAGGTCTTCGACCAAGAATTAATTGCAAAATGCCTCAGCTACTTATAGATATGATAAATAGATGTTTAGATGCTGAATCCTCAAAACGGCCAAGTGCTAAAAAATTATACAGGATTTTGAACAAATGCAGTGCTGATTATAAAGATTCTGAATCAGAATTTTGCCAACAGGCTAATGCTTTCGAAAGTTTATCGAAAGATTTAACTAATAATTTTACTGAACCAATACAAACACATCCTATGGCATTTTATACAAGCCGACTCTTGGATTATAACAATCTTTCTGAACCTGTAAATGCCACACTATCAGGTAATAAAAACTTGAACATTATACTTCTGGAAATGTATTTAATTATTATTTTTATTTTTAATAGAATCCAAATTATTAAATTGTATTTGTGATGAAATGAGCATTCAGATACATGCTAACGAAAATCATATATGTGATAACATGAGCACTCTGATACATCCTGATGATATATAATTAAATAAGTTGTATTTATGATTATGTACATGAAAATTCTAAAAGGATTTAGAACTAAGATGGATTCTTTTTTTGAATACGCTTGGGAATTTGTTATAGTGTTATACTATTGATAAATTTTCTACTGATTTCACTTTAAAAAGAAATCCTCCTTATATTAATTATTAATATAGTGGTTTGATTTTACAAAATGTGATATCAAAATATTTTATTTTAATATTTAGTCTGTATATCATATTTATAAATAATTAATGACATCAATTATTCAGTCCACATCGTATTTACGTTAAATATTTAATCTATGGCATAAAAATTGAATGTAAATTATTCTATTGTTGAAGTTGTAAAGATTTCTGAAAAAATATTATAATACAGTTCAACTGTTAATACAATGGTTAGTTTAGAAAATGTCAAAATTACGTTCTGTTTTTTTATTAGTAATTTATCAACAACAAAATTTTGGTCAAAGCGTATAAAAATATATAGAGGTATAATAAATTCAGTTCGGTCACTAGCCGGTTATTAACTGGGTAACTGGCTAGTTTGACTAGGCTGGTTAAACTAGTTCGTTCAATTATGTTTTCCAAAAAGTTTAACATTAATATTTAGCGATGTATATGCTAATATCGAATGTCGATGTATTTTGCATTTTATAATACAGGAGCCAAATTTGGTATAAATACATTTTCTTGAATTTTAACTTTATACTGTTTACTTGTAAAAAATTCCGGACTGCCATAAATTTATAAAAAGATTTAGAAAAAATTATTACTCGAATTACTCGCTCACAAAAGACTGATCCTAACAGAGAAACTATCCTTTTGAAATTTATTCTTTAATAGTAATGCTTTTTTTATTCTTTTTAACATGAAGCCACCTTTCATAGTAATTTGATAGTGTCATATTTAATATATTTGTCATCGGTTTCACTGTTGCTGATTGCATCAAATATGCACCAGGAATCTTTATAATTTTCTTTTTGATTTAATCTTTTTGTAATTTTAAATAATCTGTTTGAATTTTCATCAAAAATTCTTTATTTATTTTTACCTTTTTAGGATTATATATTCTTTTTACAAGTTTTTTTTTGTATATAATATAATATCATAAAGTACATTGCAATTCTATCATTTTTAAATTTTAAATTTGAGAATTCTATTCAAGCTTTTTCGAATTTATTCATTTCATCCAAACTCAAATCTTTCATAAGTTTTGTTTAGACAACAATTAATTATTTAATAAAAAAATTTTGTATCATTTCCTTTATAAAAAGAGTCAATTATATTTAATTTTATTAAATATATATTAATAAACTGTTAAACTTCAAGATACTTTCTATATAGCAACTTGTAAAATTTTTGTAATAAATTTTACACATATTTGTACGAAACAAAGAAACGAGTCAAATTTTTTTGTTACTGCAAAAGGTCTTTTATCTGAGTGGTTAATTATTTGCAATATACAATCTGTTTTTTTAAGAATATGGTCAACCTACTAATACAAATAAGTATCATTTTCTCAATGATATTGCATGAACAAAAAAATATATCTTCTTTGGGGTTCTGTTCATTTCATTGACAATCAGTTCACTGACAGTACAATTCACTGACAATCAATTCACTGACAAGTTCATTTCAACGACAATACGATTCACCGCGACAGTCATTTTATCAACTAAGTAATTCTGGCCATTGCCATTAGGGTCAGGTTAGAATTATAGCTAAGGTTAGTGTAATTTATAAAAAAAAACTTGTCAGTGAAACGTACTGTTGGTAAATCGTATTGTCAGTAAAATGAACTTGTCAGTGAATTGATTGTCGGTGAATCATACTGTTGGTGAAATGAACCGGAACCCTTCTTTGACTGAATAATTCTATTTTACTGTGCCAACTTGTAAATTTACATGAAAATAGCTTATAATATGTTTTGTTCTTTTTTAATTCATTGAACTATTTAGATTTGGTAAATTTTTTGAAAAAATATAGAATTCTTAGAATTCTTATTGAATTGTTTATGGGTGTAATCATTTTCTAATAATATTGTATAAAATAAATAAATTTCTCTTAAATTTTTGTGCTAATAGAATTAGTTGTGTAAACTAAAAAGCACCAACAATCCTGTAAATAAATTTTAATTTCTTTGCATCTTCATATTGGTAGGATATATATAATATTACATGATATGTAGTCTTATATGATTGCATTGATTAATTCTTGATACTAACAAATTGATTTGTAAGTCCTTATTAATTTATTTTTTATTTATTTTTTTGTTAACTAACCTTTTGGGGCTAAGATTTTTTATTCACATATTTGGGTAGAAAGGCTTACAACAAAGCCTCTATTATATTAATGAGTACAACTAACTATACATGCAACTTTTGAGTGCCTATTTAAGTAGTTTGTGTTTAGTATTACACTGTAGGAACTATACTATTTGCTGTATCTATAACCCAACTAGGAGTTTATCTATTTAAACCCTTTGTAATGCAACCCACTTGTATCACCAGTACATCTTTGTTACATTTGTTAGTTGAGAAGTTCTGGATGCTTTCTCTATTCCCTTAGAACTAATTTATCTTTGAGGTATTGTTGCTAAAGCTTTCCATACTCACAATCTAGCATACCTAGACTTGGTAACTTATACCATGTTTGAGGTTAAGTACTTGCAAGCTGAAGTTGCTACCATTACCTATTTCTACCCTTATAGAGTTTATGCAAACCTCAGCACCCACTATACAGACTATCCACTGTTCTTTTGGTTGCTTCAAACTCTCAATGCAGATAGCCTGGAAGGGCAATCCCTTTCTCCGATTACCCAGCAGCCTGGTTGGTATGATGCTTTTGCCAAACACCTCAGTCCTGTCCAGTTTTTTGGTTCCCTGATTGATGATTCTTTACATAGCACCATCAAAAGTCTGCACTACCTCTCTACTCAGAACTTGCCAAGCAGGCTTCAGTGTGCTCCAGCCCTTGGCTGCTTCACTCAGATTTCATGTAACTCATATATTACACTAATGTTTCACAGCCTCCTAGTACAAGCTGGTACAACCAAAACTACAGATACAGAACCATCAGATTACACACAGTCTGCTGTAACACATTCTATAAAATTCGAATTTCGTCACCAGTGGGATTTGAACTTTTGTCCTGCTGCTTGGGAGTGCGACAACTTACCAACTTCACTAAGTATATACCGGTACTAGGTCCACTAATAATAAACAGACCTGGTATATTTAATGAGACTGCCGATTCTTTGTGTGCAGCAGGTTTTTGGATAAAGATATTGCTCAAGATTATGTGGGGTCTTTGCCTTGAAAATCACCTTCCGACATTTCCGATTTCGGAAAAAATAAACCCGAGTACCGATTCATGTTCATATGTTAATCATCTTTTACTTTTATTGATTCAATAGTTATTCGATAAACTATTAAATCAATAAAGTTAAAAGATGTTTAACATATGAACATGAATCAGTATTCGGGTTTATTTTTTTCCGAAATCGGAAATGTCGGAAGGTGATTTTCAAGGCAAAGACCCCATGTAACTGCAGGACTTTGTATTGATTCTGATGATACAATTCCTTATAATAATATCTTTATACGAAGTTGTGGCATTCATCTAAACTCAGGATGAAATTGTATCAATAGTGTTATATAATTTAAACGATACTGATTTTGGCTTAATCAAAGTAACTAATGAAAACTGAAACCAACAAGAAAGATAAGGAATACAGATTCTGAATCAGGCTACAAAACATTTGTTACTTGCGGATAATTCACGAAAACTACCTTTCGTGAGTTTAGATGGCATAGCTTGCATAGTAAAAACTTGGGTGATGTTGCAATAACTATAAGATATTATTAATAAAGCTTAAATAGAGTTTATTTTAGATGAAAATAATCAGTAATAAATATAATTGATCTTTTACATAAGCTTGAGATTGCGAATTGCGAATCTAAAAACCAGAATTATTGTCATCATATAATATTCCTTCAAGAAATTTTTTATGTCATACATCTTTATTATCATTATCTTACGATTAAGCTTTCAGGAATTACCAAACTGATAAGTTCGTACTATTTCCCAAAAAAATGATCGGGTAAAAATAAATCATTTTTTTTTGTATCTTAACACATACGATAATTGTCGCAATCATCAAGGGTTAGATTCCAACCATTCAGCTTCCTATTATTCACTACTTGACATGCATCTGTGAGATTTCCGTACATTGCAATTCTATTTATGAGATTGTTATGAACACCACTTCCACCGTTTTTGAATCCCCCTTGAATTCTGCAATTGATGGGGGACCAACCGGATCATTACATTCAAATCGTATAACACATAATACTTTTGCCCACCTACAGCAGTAGTAACTTCCAGGTCCACAAATTGATTGGACGTTATCAGGTTTACATACTACAACGTCGTAGAAGTTAAGAATATGACTTGCAAACGCTGCTTTTAGTCCGGGTAAAAGCGAGTTACCGACATCTACATCACTATATAGAGTGTCGTTAAAGTCAATGTATTTGTCAATTAATGTATAATTGACTCCATTATTAAAAGTATCATCTACCATGGATTGTAATGACTTTAACATGTTAGTTTCTGCTTGATTCTGAAGGTCACCTAAATTCCTAACAGGAGCTTCCGGATTCCCTCTGAATCCGAGATTGGTTGCTCCAGTACTGAGAATACCTGAAAGAATTCTTTGCATAAAAAAACCAAATTCTTCTCCAGCGATAGTGCCGAGAGGTAACATAAATGGTGAGAAGTTAATGGCACCAATAACAGTTGAAAAGACCAATAACAAATTAATGAGCAGGATATTGGGACCAGTTTCGGCATGAGGAGTTAAATCATCTACCATATTAGGTAATATACGATTCAATTCTTCGAAGGAATATTTAATTCCATCGTAGAAAATGGATAAATACGTCAAATAATTCTTAGAGGCGAAAACCAGTCTTGCTATACTAGGACTTGAATTATTAACCGGATATTCGAGATATCGTCTTGCTTCGATGTTCAAATAGTTTCCGAAAGGGCCAGGATAAAAGGCCGGTGCAGTTTGCTCCAGCAGATGATTGATGCATGATGCAATTCCAGGATCCGGTTTAGGATCCAGTGGGGCACCGGTCTCTATATTTATTCCTTTCAAGCAATATTCGTAAGTTACTGACGGAGGGGCGGGGTGCTTGCTGTTGGGACTGATTCCGGTGTATTGAACTTGCATGTCCACGGTAAGATTAAAAGTATAATCAGAAAGTAAGCAGTAATAATTAGGGATGTTATCTGGATCATTGTATATTTTAGTTTGATCAAAATTTATTTTGACGGAGATAAAGCAAAGTGGGGTACATCCTTGTAATGTAACGGTGACATTATTTTTATAGTCATTATTGTTGAGATACACAACGTTGATACTACCATAAGTGCCACCAGCAACAGAATCGTGATTAATGATAGCAAAAACGTCTTTTTTACAAATTCTATACTTTAACATTACGGTGGTCCAGAAATCAACCACAGGACTAAGGAAAAATAATAGGAACAAAACAAAAAATATGGTTCTAATTTTCAGAGAACCATTTTTAATAGTATTTAATGTGAGAGTTTTAAGGCATAAAATGTTCATATTTCAAATTCTTTTGCTTGTTCCTATAAGACATTCTTGTCAAATCTGTCATTTTTTATAGCAGAATATCGACGAATCAATAATTAATTTTAATATGAAGATTTCGAATGACTAAGTTTTGATATTTCTTTATACATAATATTTTTATTGGTAAACGTTTTGCGAATAAATTAGTTTTGAACAATTCATTTTCATATTAAACATTATGAGAACAATTTTGTGAATAACTTCCGATTTGTCTCTAGATTATCTTTATGATCTAACTAAAAAGAAATAGTAAACTGTGGAACAAATATAGTATAGCGGACACCATCGGCAAAATTTCCGAAAAGCCACATCACGTGATCACATGATGTGATGTGACTTCCCCTGCAGCATCCACAAAATTTTTCCGGTCATGTGATGATCGTCACACAAAATTACTTTTTTGTCAAATGCGTTGAATACCAATCGAG